TCAATTCCTAAAAGTAGCCTCAAGACAAATCACCAAGAGGGAGAAAATTAAAGTCAGAGAACTCTGCTACTTTTAAATGATTCCTTTCCATATTAATTAATTGACAGCAAGAAATTATTTCTAAATTTTATCTTCTTAATAAACTTTATTGCCTTTTTTCTCTCCTCAGAATTTTTCACTTGTACTGGGTAGTCCAGCAAATTATCACACACATCCCTTCCTGAGCAACACATTTCAATTATAAATAAAACAATGGAAAGTTCTTCAGAGTTCACCGGCAATCTCAAAGTTGCAAGTTTCGAACACCACAAACCGCACCCTACAGCTTCTCACAGGGTTCTGGGGAGCGATTGTCGCACTTACCAGAAGACAGGGAGCTAAGCAGAAAGGAGAGGCAAGAGGCAGCAAGAAGCTAGTCAGAGGAGCGGTGACAGCAGGAGACAGGCAGCTGTGTTCTTACAAGGGAGAGAGAGAAACCACACACACACACACACACACACACACACACAGGCGGCAGGAGAGCAGGGAGGGGGTGGGGAAGGAAAGGAACCGTGTATGACACAGCAAGAGAGAGGTACACCCAAGTTTCAGTAGCTGTCTTCTGGGCAAAGGTCTGAGGAAAGAGAAACAGCTGGTAGATCTTATCAGACTCCATGTTTTGTCCTTTTAAAAAATCGAAATGCTCACTATATATAGCCCCTCAGTGCAATTTTCCATCCTTGTTCTTTTGGGCAGAGGTCATATTTTCTTATTCCTTAGTTTATTTCCAGTGCGATCTGTGATTCATTTTTTTCCCCTTCTTATGCTAGTCCAATTAGTGTCAGGTTTCTTATAGGAATCATGGGGGAAAACCCAGTGGCTTAACAATAGGGAGGTGGTGGGGAAACTCCTTTGATTCTGATGTTATTGGTTTGTTGTAAAACTCGAAATACAAAAGGAGGTGGCTCTCTTGGCACTGGGCTTAGTGGCATCTTCATGGACACAGTAATTGGCCCAACTGGCCTCAGATCCCACGTCTGAAGCATGTCATCACCTTCACGTCTCAGATAAGTCCTTGGGGAGGCAGTCGCTTTTTCTTCCTAAGTTGGAGGCTTTTCCACCAGCTGCTTTCCCAAGTTTGTCCACTCTTTTTATGTCTTCAACTTGTTCCTTAATCCTTGTCAGAAAAAGAACCTTCTCTTGATTCACTGTAAAATGGCCTCTTTCTCTTACCTTACATCGGTGCCCTTTCCTTTCTGTTTCTAGAGAACATGTTCTCACACTTTTCCGAGGTAGGCTCCTCCATCAGAGTTCCTGCTCTTGGGACTGGCTGGGCATAATGACACTGGCTGTGGTATGCAGAATAGTGCCATCAGAGAGATGTCCACATCCAAATTTCAGGAACCAGTAGTATGTTACTTTACATGTTGAAAGAGACTTGGCATGCGTGATTAAATTAAGGATCTTGAGATGGGGAGATTATCCAGAATTATTTGGGTGGGCCCAATGTAATCGCAAGGGTCCTTAAAAATAAATAAGGGTCTGAGTCAGAGGGTTAGAGTCAGAAAAGATCTTCAAAAGAGGTCAGAGTAATGTGTCAAAACTAAAATATTCTGTTCCCAAATGTTTTCTCATACATTTCTCTAAGTTCGGGAGAGGCATAAGGTATGTACAGATAAGGGTTCCCAACAAGTAGAGGTCAGGATAAAGAATCCCAGTAATGAAGACAATAGGCCTTTTACTGCATCATTTGATGATAAAGTTGGGTGAGAGAAAAAAAAACTTCTTTCTAAATTAATGTGTACTTGGTGAGGGCCTCAAATGGGTGGCATACTGGATTGCATTAAACTGATGTAGTTAGATCTCTCAGTGAATACAAAAAGTAAGTCAGTTCTTCTCATATTTAAGTAACTTATATATTCTTTTAACAGAATAATTTAACGTTGAAATTAATTTAAAGGCAGAAAAAGAACTCTCCGTGATTGAACTAAGTTATTATATTATCATTTATACCAATATGTACCAATGTAAAAATAGGTATAAACTTCTGCTGCTTATAGTTATTATATGATACAAATTTTAAATATATATTATTTTTAAAACCCTACCAAATGAATAAGTACACAAATGAACATTACTTTTATGTGGCAGATAGTATTTTGCTGAATCCAAATTGCTACTTGCAACATGAATATACCTGCTGGTCCTATTGAGTTTATGACACTCTACTACAGTGCATCTTATGAACTGACTCAATTTCCTCAATGCTTGATTCATCCAAATTATTACATAAATTTCATTCACATTACCTGCCATAATTTCAATTGGACTTTCTTTGATACTAATGTATCATTTATAGTTCTTTCTTACTTTCTTGCAATTATTAAAGTAGTGCTACTTGCATATCCTCATCTTGGCTGTAACCCTAATCTTAATCCTAAACCTGGCCCTAACCCTAACCCTAACCCTAGATCTGAGAAAAAAAAAATAATGGAATATTACCTGGTCATAAAAAGGAAATGAAATCTCACTACTAGCAATGACATGCATGGAGTTAGAGAGTATTATGCTAGGAGAAATTAAGTCAGAGAAAGACAAATACCATATGATTTCACTCATATGCGGAATTTAAGAAACAAAACATGAACAAAGGGGGGAAAAAGAAAGAGAGGGGCAAACCAAGAAACAGACTCTTAATTGTAAAGAACAAATTGATGGTAACCAGAGGGAAGGTGGGTGGCGGGATGGGTTAAATAAGTGATGGGGATTAAGGAATGGACTTATGATGAGCACTTGATGTTGTATGGAAGCACTGAATGAACAATTATACACCTGAAACTAAAATTACATTGTATGTTAACTAACTGGAGTTGAAATAAAAACTTACCAAAAAAAAGTAGTGCTACTTTGAGCTAAGTTGATTAGATACACAAGAAAGTGATGGCACCAAATGACAATTATCCAGGTGATCCAAGATAGGCTTATACATTTTCAATTAGTATTGAAATGAAGGCAAACACACAAACTTATAGCTATCTAGAACCCATCTGCAGCCTGGTAGAAGCCCAAAGAACTGGGAATGTAAAGAAAACAAATTAATAATAATAGTATTTTATTTTATTTATTTTAAAAGATCTATTTATTTGTTTTTGTGAGAGAGAAAGAGAGAGAGAGATTGATGGGGGGAGGAGAGAGGGACAGGGAGAGACGGAGAGAGAGAATCTCAACAAGGCTCCCTGCTAAGCACAGAGCCTGACACTGGGCTAGATCTCATGATCCTGGATCATGACCTGAGCCAAGAATCAAGAGTTGGACGGACGCTTAACTGACTGAGCCACTCAGGCATCCCAGAATTCAATGTTGTTTTATTGTAAGGAATTTTTTTGGGAAAATAACATTTTAATTTTTATGCAAATATTATAAGAAAATAGAAAGTCACTAATGCTAAAATGTTTATCAATAATCCCTTGTTCTCCTCCCCATCCTGTTCCTCCAACCCTGTCATGTTCCCCAGGGGTAATAATATTAAACTAAGCAGAAATTTCTTCTTTGGTTTACTTTTTCATTTATAAATAAGACATCTAGATTGCTGTCTGTCAACTCACCCATTTTGACATTATCTATGTTTTCCCATAATAATAGATAAAGATGTTTGCTATACCTCCTTTTTCCTCATTTTCTTCATAAAATATAATTCATTTTAATCAATACTCTATATTTTCATTATTGATAAAATGTTCACTGACAAATTAGGTAAACCACTGTGATTACATACAATTCCATTCTTTTGTAACTTTTTGCTAATGATCATTTTCTCTTTTCATTTGTTTAGTATTGAGAGTACTCTGTTTTCCCAAACTGCACAAAAGGTCCGTAAAATGCCTTGTTATGCAATTTTCCACAAGATATAATCTGTCAGATAGTTTATAGATTCTAGTATCTTCTTGGAAATATCACCCCCATATACAAAAATCCCCAAAGACTTGACTTCCTGTTAAGTCTGATTTGGTGACTTTGTTGGCCTGCTGCACAGCTGTGGTCCTTGCACTTCCCCGGATGTCATTCTGGGAATTCCCTTTACCTTTCTCTTGTTTCCTGATTTCCATTCTTCCTCTTTCTTGGTGTACTTCTTCATTTAGTGAAATGTATTGTCCACGGGCTTTTTTGAGAAATCGTTTATGGGGGACTTTGTATGTCTCAAATGTTTTTTTGCTACCCTTATACATACTTGATTGCTTGGCTAGATGTAAACTTTAAAAAAAAATTTATTTATTTATTCATGAGAGATACAGAGAGAGAGAGAGAGATTATTATTATGTGATTTCTGTTTCCCTTAAATCCATAGTAAGAAAGTATAGAATTAATAAACTCATTTTTGAAAAAAAAAAGTCTTAAATGAGTCATTTAATTAATTCTTCCCCACCCTATGCAGAAATTTCTTCTTCAGAATCTCTAAAAGAAAGAACAACTAAGGCTCTATGAGATATTTCTAGTATTGAAGCTTCTGATTTTGGCTGATAGTTCATTTCATTGTTAGACCACTGCGATGGTTAAACAGATCTTCCTGACTCTAAGATGGTATTGTAAAAATCTTTCTGATCTCTTTTTCCTATAAAATTCTATAGCAAACAAGAACAAGAAATAGAAACTTATACCATGAATGAAACCAGAAAAACTGAATCTGTAAACCCCAAACCATAGTGAATGAGGATTAGAACAAAAGACATAATGGTAAAAAATCAAACAGAAAAAAGATGCTTGACAGAAATGAGTTAGTGAGCTGAGGGAAAGTCAGCAGGAAATGTAGAAGCAACATAATTTTCCTGATAGGCTTTGAAAAGACTAAAGAATTTGAGGTTAATAGTCAGCAAACAGGGGTACTATCAAAAGTAGTAGTAAGGCTGGTTTTTTGTTTAGTTGGGTTTTTGTTTTTGGGTCTTAATTAGCAGAATGAGCAGTCATATCTAAGAGTCCCCAATCTCACCTCACAAAGTAAAGTAACTTCTCTCTACTCTTTCAAGATACCTCAGGATTGTTCTCTGGGAAGTTTAACCAGAAAGACTCTGCATTCAGGAATATGAGGCCCAGAGGAGGAAGAAGGTAAGCAACAATGATAAAGGGGGAAGGAAGCTAAAGCCATAAGTCTCTAGATTTAAAAATCCATTAAGCATCCAACACAATAAATGATAAAAGATGCACATCAAATTTGTCATTGTGAAACTTCAGAATATAAGGGATAAAGAGAAGATTCTAAAGGTTCCCTTTGTAGGAACATATAAGGATCATATAAGAGATCAAGAATAAAAATGACTTTGCACTTTTAAGAAAAGAAACCTAAAAGACAAGGGAATAATGCCTTTAAAAATTCAATAGATATGTAAAAAAAGTTTTATTAAAAACAGTTTTTTTTTAGATTTTGTAAAAAAGTTTACATCTGTGGGGATCCCTGGGTGGCTCGGTGGTTTGGCGCCTGCCTTTAGCCCGGGGCATAATCCTGAGGTCCCAGGATCAAGTCCCACATTGGGCTCCCTGCATGGAGCCTGCTTCTCCCTTTGCTTGTGTCACTGCTTCTCTCTCTCTCACAGAAATCACATAATAATTAAGACTATAAGTCTGAAAACAGGTAGCTTGCATATGAATTTCATATCCGTTATTTACTTGGCATATTTTATTTTAAAATATTTTATTTATTTATTCATTAGAGAGAGAGAGAAAGAGAAAGAGAGAGAAAGAGAAGCAGAGACACAGGCAGAAGAAGAAGCAGGTTCCATGCAGGGAGCCCGATGCAGGACTTGATACCGGGGCTCTAAGATCACACCCTAAGCCAAAGACAGATGTTCAACCATTGAGCCACCCAGACGTCCCAATTTTATTTTATTTTATTTTATTTTATTTTATTATTTTATTTTATTTTATTATTTTATTTTATTTTATTTTATTTTATTTTATTTTATTTTATTTTATTTTATTTTATTTTATTTTATTTTATTTTATTTTATTTTATGTAGGCTCCATGTCCAATGTGGGGCTTGAACTTACAACCCTGAGTTCAAGAGTTGCATGCTCTACCAACTGAGCCAGCCAGGTGCCCCCTTAGACTATATTTTAACTTCTTCAGCTCTAATTTCCTTCTTTGTAAACTAGGACTGCCTATTTTATATGAGCGTTATGAGACTAACATAGTGAATGTGGTCTATATAATGAACACATAATCTATGTTAACTAATTTCAATAGTGGTATGTTGAAGTAAAGCTTGCGAGTGGAGATTAGTATTTTCTACACTAACAGCATTTTGAAATTGTTGCTGTCTAGAAGCCAAGTTATATCTGAGAATCTATTGTATTATATCTTGGTCATGGTATATACTTAACCTGGGTTAGATTTGCTTGGGATGATTCTGTTCCTACTCATCAGAAAACACCCTCGTGTTTCTGGAAAAGGGGAAAATGTAGGATTGTGGCCAAGCAGAAATTATTTTCAATTAGTCTAATTACAAAACCTATGCAGCAAGTTACAATTTTCAATTTTTATGGTGATGCCTCTTTAATTTGTACTTGGGTACAGTTGGTCCCTAGAAGTGAAAATTATGATTCACATCCTATGGAAAGACTTTGGTTTTATTACTTCTAAACAAGAATTAACCAAACAAGGATTGTCTGTAGAAAGGGCAATGTGAACTAGCTTTCATGAATAAAATAAATCATTTGAAATTTGCATAAATATTGGGTGCTACCCTTGTGCTTGGAAAAAGCTCCACTTCTTAAGTGGCCTTATTTGATTATACTTAATTTTTTTTCATGATAATAATTTAATCATGAATTTCTTCTTATAAATAATGCAGATAAATTTTAGAGTAAGCTTCTTTACCCTGATTCTCTGTTAATCTGAATTAACAAGATTGTGCTGCATGCACTCTACGATGGAGATTTGGCTTCTGTCAATATTTTGTCCAAGGAAGGTCGGAATAAAGTCTGTCACATTGTATAATACTGAATCTCTCATCTTTGAAAAGCCCTTCCTTACTGCATTGCTTAACGTAGTAGAGATTCTGGAGCATGGATGGGACTCTGTGTTGCCGTGTTTATTTAGAATGTGTCCACTGAGGGTAGAGCTGAATTTTAATGACTGCCGAGGGCTGCAGCAATGATTCTCCTTAAACATGCTTCACCATTCCAGTCTCTGAATGCCAACAAGGCCACATGGTTAAAGCATGAAGACGTTTTTTCCCTTAGTGTTGTCTAAAACACATCATCAGTGATTTGCCCATCAGAGTTCCAGGATGTTGTTTGTGTCAGGATCTGCTTATAGCTGCAGACCAGTAGGAAAATCCTGCTGACATTTGAACAGTCATAACATAACTTGGAGACAGGAGCTCCTAAACTCCAGTGGCACCATTACTTACAGTGTCCCATTGCCTCTGGCTCATGTTCCCTACAGAAAACTTGGGATATACGTCCCATTTGAAAGAATTGTAGTCACAAGATACAAAAGTCATTGGCAACAAGAAGACAATAACGCAGATTGAAAATGCCAATTGCTGTTGGTCCCAACTTTGAGGTTGCCAAACCATCCATGGTTTTGGACTGCGACTCCCCTACTAGGTATATCCCCCCTCCCAACCCTTCCCTTATTCTCATTCCTTCTTTTTCTGGAATTTGATGACTACCGTGGCATCTGCAGAATCTTGGCAAGTGAAAGGACCTCACAGATCATCTTACCATCTTGCTTGCACTTGAGTTTTGTCCCATGCCACCCTGACCTGCTGTTAGGATGACATTTTGGTGGGGAAAAAAATCATCCCTTACTTATAAGACAGCACTACTTGTCAAGTGTTAAATAAAGGAATGAAGTCTCCCAAAATGATAGATCTGTGGTGTTTTACCCTAAGCAATTGTTCCTCCTTTCAAAGGTTTGACAAGGCTTCTCTTTCAAAAACCCTTTTTGAGGCTTGGTAACTAATGACTACAAGGTTCATCTTTCTTTTCTCTGTGTAGTATCAAAAGTTCTTTAGATTCTCTTCCGTGAGGAGGGTCATGAGTTCGTCTTTCCTCTACCTGAGTGTCATGAAGCCCCTTTTCCCTTGCTGATCACAGAGAAATTCTCAGAAAGGGTCTAAGGGTCTAAGCTGAACTAGTGTCCAAGAAAAGCCTGTCATTTGATGTGTTAAAAAACAGGGGTGTGGTGGTCACCTAGTTACAAGCTGATGAGTTCTTTTCTCCTTCTTTCTTGCAATGCAGTTCTTATCATAGAATCTGGACCTATTTTTAAATTCTAAGTATGTGGCCTTTTTCCTCCACAATAATTTGATGTGGTTTTGATAGGATCGGGACAACATAGATCCTGAGAATGGCAGAGGTGGTCAGTGCGATAGGACTGAGTGAGCAAAGGCTTAGACCACTGACACTTTTTTATCCTCCTTTTGTGTCTCCTCCTTTTGTTCCTTTTGTGGTGTGGGATGCCTAGGCTTTGTTGTTTTGAAGATAGACCATTAATTGAGTTTGTCCATCTACCTATCTAGTCTTTAAGAGACTTTCCAGCTCTTAATAATCTTTTATGTGACTGGTTTTTCCCAGACTAGATTAACTTACCATTTGTGCTCCTTAATTTAAAAGATTGGGGAGGAAGTACCTCACCTCTTCTGTCATTTTTAAACCATTTAGTGGACCCTAGTCTGTTCGTTTGGAATTGAATTAATCAATAATTGTCCCAGCTCTTGTCAGAGCTGGCTTGTTGTTTAATTCCTGTGGTCATCAATGAAATAAAATAAAAAGTCCTCCATCTTTGTCCATCAAACAGCAACAACACAAAATAATCTGATGGGTTTTCTATACCACATATTCCCAAACTGGGTAATTCTGTATTAAAAGCCTGTTACATTTTGAAGTGTAACCATACCTATATTGTACAATGAAACTGGAAAGTTTAATGTGATTTTATGTTTTTTTTCTGTAAGGTTAAGTGACACAAGATTAGATTTCTGCATAAAAACAAGTGAAAGTATACAATTATGTTAGGTGAATGTACATAATATTTCCATCAAACTGTCTTATTTTAATATTTTCTGATATCCTAAAGTAGTTTTTGGAATCTTGAATTCATAACGTATTAAGTAATGGATACTTTTATTTATTAAAAGGTCCCCGAGAAACTCAAGTTCTATACTGATGTCAACTGTAGTTAAATTAAAGACTCATGTGTTTTTGATAAGTGAAAATTTATCAGATGATATATTCAAAATACATGAATTTTTGATCATGGGTCAAAGGAGAGACTTAGTGTCTAAACCTCAAAAGCCCGAACTTACATGTAATGTTATTTACACAGTCTTTTCTTGATCTCCTTGCAGAAAATTAAACATTTTCAACTGTCTTGGCCCTGGATGGAAGTGGCACTGAAGAATCAGTTGGGTTCACATAATGCAAATAAAACATTTCATGATATGTTAGGTTGCTAAGGAAATGAGGAAATGGTGCATGGCATATGGAAGGATGTGCTTATGGCTCAGGAAACGGAGTAAGATATATTTAAGGAGCATCAGGGGAAAGGCAAAATTTAGGACAGCTAAAATTTAATTAAATGTGTGAAATAGAAATTACTAGAAATTAAAGAGTAGTAAGAAGAATCAATTTGTCCAGCATGCATTTAGATAAATGAGTTTATACTTTTAATTGTGTAGTAAGTCATAGTGGACCACAAATTAAAGCTCTTTCCATCTGCTCAGAGTGGACTGGACTAGTTCCTGGGCCCTCTTCCAAAGTTGAATATTAGCACTGAAAGAGGGCTTGTGATCTAAAACCTTCACTTCCTGTGATACAGAATTGGCAGCTGTGAGGATTCTAAAGACCTCAGACTCAAAACCAATTGAAACAAGTGAAACTTAAACCATTTGTAAAACAAGCATCTACATAGCTACAAAGAATGAAGGCTCCAGAACAAACCTAGAACCAAGTATTTGGAATGCACATCCTTTCTGGGATCCTCCTCTCAATATAGAAGTGACTACATATAGAGTGGTGTGTTTTATTCAATACTTTATTGTTCATATTGATATTTGGATAAGTCTCTTGGAACTCTTAGTCAAATAAGGAAAATAAGAAAT